TGCGCAAAGCAACCAATTGTCATCTCAACGCCGGGTATCCTACGAAAACAGCTGTTTAAAATGAAATTATATGTTAAAAATAAGTTTGATCTTCATTTCCAAAACAAACATGCAGTAGTCAGTTGATGCGCTTTACCATGCAGTACTGCTTTTGTCCACAGGGGCCGCCAAAATTAATGGAAAAATAAATTCCTTATAATTACTTTGACGAAAACAAAAAGTCATGTTGGACATTTATTGAAAGCAATTTATGCATTATGAAGCAAGCTCGTACTGCAACCATGCTCCATCACTCTTGAGTCATTTTCCCTGAAAAAACATCAGGTCAATATTTCAAACAGTTCAACTACAACATGATTCATCCTTGTTGTTATGTTGAAGCACTGCAGTCTGCTCTGTTTAGCAATGAAAGGCTGGTGTCGTATTTTCAAACAGGTTTCTTTTCTTGGCGAGGTGACTGATGCTTTGGCTCACTGGGTGTTGCTTTTGAAAGCTCACACATCTGATGCAAACAGTGTCTTCATTTTTCAAACACAATCTGTTGATGAGTGTCATCAAAAACGAGAACATCAGACCTGACTGCTCAGGGGATCTTTTAGAAAAAGGATTAGTTAGGGCTGCAGCAGGGAAGTATTGAGAGAGTCTGGGGATGTTGTGTAAACCTGACAGCTCGCTCTGTAAAAGATTTGAACTCGTGGTCAGGTGTCTGGTTGTTTGCCAAACTTTTGTTTTTTTTTAAGTTTTCAGCCTGGATGCGGACCGTTAACCAGTTTTTATACCCTGTGATATCTTATTTTTAGTGCTTGTATTGGCTAAGGATTTGAGGACTCTCAGAGATTCTACAAAAACAAGTCTGATGTGAACAAATAGCGCTTGAAACTATTGGAACATGCATGCAAGGTTCCTAACAGGAAAGATAATTAAAAGAGAAACACAAGGTTATTTTTTTAAAGAACATTTTTACTGTACATGACTTCCTCCCCTCGACCTGCAGGCATATCAATGAAACATGCCTTAAGGCTTTCATTTGTAGTCATTAAAGGCAGGGTTGGTAATTTTCTCCAAAAACATTTTTTAAGATTTTGGCTGAAATTGTGTTTAGGTCGTAGACGGAGCACTGAGAGAATACTACTTTCAAATTCATGTCAGTTTTTCGTAAATGACCAACCATGCCTTTAAATTCTCTGCAAGACTTTAAATAGAATAACTGATTGGACCCAGACCTGTTTTTGTTGTTGTTGAATATTTTATTTTCAAATTTTAAATCACCCAAAACAAATAAGCAACATACAAAAACTGGCAAACACATAGTCCAGCCTATCCCATCCCCATACACACGAAAGGGGAAAAACACTTCTTAAATGGAGTAGGTTCTTGTAACGCAATTAAACAATAAAAACACTTACAATACGTATATTGTAGTCTGTGTTGTTAAATATATTAATTACATTCACTGCGAAATAACAAGGTTATTAGTACATTTTGTGTTAGCTAACTAACTAGCTGGCGAAACAGTCTTCGGCATACGGCGCAGAAGTGGAGAGATGACATTCTCAAATAGGCACTTCAGAGCAAAAACAAATGAAACAATGAGAAGAATCCTGTAAAGGAAACTTAGGTCTGATTTCCAAAAGGATTATGTGGCTTTTTCAACCGGTGAAGAGTGTTTCTGTGTGGCTGCGTTATGCGCTTATTTAAATGAGACATTAGGCTTTCTATGCAGATAGGTCACCATGTAGAAAGTGTCCAATTCTCAAATAACGACGCAAACAGCCAAGCACGGTTGGTTTGAAATAAAGAGTTGAGACCAGGTGGTGACTGCGCTACAGTATTGGTTCTGCCAAAGGCCTGACACTTCATCCACCTGTGCAGAAACAGTCCAGAGCTGTTACACACTAATGAGGATGCAAGTTTGTTTTCTTCATCTAGTATTTCTTGCTTGCTCCTTCTGGAAGGATGCTGTTTTCTAAACATTAAAACTCATATCACATTTTTTGAGTCTGGCCTTGAAAAAGTTTCCAGTCCCCTCTGAGCTAATCATCTTTATGAGGACCGAGAGTGCAGCTCCATGCAGAATAAAAATGCATGGGGTGGCTCAGTGGTAATATCTGTAGTCGTCTCTCAGGTTCGGGGTTCAATCCCCAGCTCCTGCAGCCACATGATCGATGTGTCATATGGGCAAGACACTTACACCCAAGTTGCTCCTGCTGCTTTATTGTTGGGATTAGTTGTGTGTTTTGATGGATGATAAAATAGTTTTTAACCTTGGTGTCATTAAATGGGTAATTTCAGTTGAAAGTACAGTAACACGAACTGTCTTTAACAGAAGTACCAATCATTTCTGGCTGTCTGGCCTTCTCTGAAAACATTCCCCTTATTGTCCATGCAGGGTTGCTTTCATTTATTCATGCCGGTTTTGGCGTTTTGGAGATAGCCTCGGATGAACAGTAGACAGGAAACATGGGTAAAGTAAAAAGGTTAACTGGGGATTCTACGAGCATATGGTGTATTTCTTTTACACTATGCCAACAGGACACCCTCATGGCATCATGCTTGTCTTACACAACTTTGAAACAAAATCTACAAAACAACCACAGCAGCAGCAGCAGCAGCAGCGTGTCCAGTGCTGGGGGGATCCTCTCTGTCACAGCAGCCGTGCAGCAGATTCAAAGCTGGACTATGGGATTCCCACATGAAATGCTTTTCTCTCCGTATATGCTGGCAGGAGAAGCAGAGCCAGGATTCCAACAACAACTCCAAATCCAGTCAGAGAAACCACAGCGTAAGCGTGTCCTTCAGAGAGCTACTGGCAGCGCTTCTCTTACATCTAAAGCAGCGCGGCTGGCTGTGTCTTTGTCTCTAACATCTTCTCTTGTTTTGGCTATGTGTGAGCATCACACCAGTGTTTTACCGTCCACCTGCATTATAATTGATGTACAAGGAAGTGAGGGGAGGTGGGTATTGTAGAAAACAAGCCATCACAAGTCCAGTGCATAATTTAAAGGAAACGTCCCCTGCTTTCTGTCTTATTTATGTCTACCTGCTGTTAGCTTACATTTTTGCAGCAGGCGTTCGCTTCTGAAGTAGCTAGTTGGATTGTAAAGATCGAGTGCACCAAAGTCTTGGCTAGAAATTGTTCATGGATTCCAGTTGCCAATATATAAAGTCCTACTATAGCTGATTCAGTGAATTATTTATATGTAATTTAACATGTAAACAATCCAAATATAAATTCTTAATGTGCAAAGCTTTAAAAGGCTTCCCTCCTATTTAAATGATTGTGTATGAAGATATTTTGTTTCTCTCTCAGAACGCTCAGTTTTGGTGTGTGTCTCTTTAAATGCAGTGACCCCTGCACTGCTTGACCAATTTTCAGAGGACTTCCAGGTAAACATAAGGCTGACCTCATCAGACACATTGGAAGTTTCACCACTTTTAATTGCTCCCTCTTTAAAAGTGGCTTATTAGTTTTGTTCAGTTTGTCACATCCTCAACTGCTATTGGTTCCTTTCTGCAGTGTTTGACATTCACTCTAAAAAATATGGTCATTTGTTAGCAGAGAGCGTGACGGACAGTGTATTTAATGTTTGTCGATATATGTTGATGAGGGGCGGGGGGCTTTAAAAGATTTTCATTTGCCAAAGCCTAGAAAAAAAAAGTTTGGACCATCACTTAAGCAGTGGCTGTTTGCCTGGTGAAGGTCTAGTGCTGAGACGTTGCGCGGGAGTTTGTCTTTGAGTTTTTGATGGACACATCGCTCACCTGTCTTGTGAGATGGATGCATAAAGGTTTCTTCTACATGTCTTGTAAGTTCTTAAAAAACAAAAATCTATTTTCCATCTGGAAACCACGGAACACCATCATCTGCAAACAAACAAAAACATTTCGGCCTGATGATATCAGCCAACATATAAGTCAGGCAACCTTTTTTGTGTGTCAAGTTTAGTGTGTATATATTGTAAAAAGGAAAAGTCAGATACCAGGGGAATTGTGATGCCAAACAGTTGTTGCACATCTTTGTCAGATTTGATATCTTTCAGTTTCAGCGGCCGATTTCTTCATTGTCTCAGTCTCAGATAGCTGAAAAGTCTTGCTGTCCACCGATGTTACACATTGAAGTGAAAGCATAATTATCTAGGTTTGGTTGAGCTGCCACAGCACAGACAGTGAGGCTGGATTTTACACCGTCATTTCAGATTTACTGTTTACCGCAGCAGCAGCAGCAGCAGTGAGAGTCTCAGCAGAAGGACACCTCAAGAAAATGTCACATGCAATTAAGAGAGAATGGAGCAGCTCAGGCTCTAAATAATTCAGACAATGGAGCATGATCTGGAAATTGGCTCCAAATTCTGCAGCACCGTGCTTTTCCTGTCACATATCGGATTTTTTTTTTTAAAGGGGCTGAATGCTTGTTGTGGGAAATCTGGAGCAGGATCGGTTCCAATCATTACATCTCATACCTGAGCTATTATTTATTTAAAAGGTTATTTTTCTATCATATCTTCTTTATTTCAATGTTAACAATGCCAGATTGCGATGGCCTACCTCAACTTAACTGCTTTAAACTGCAGCTAGCACTTAGTGGTCTTAAAGGGACACTGCACCAATTTCACCAATAAAGTCTATGTCACAAGTTGTGCCGTTTGGCATGTGAAAACATTTGGTCAGTGTCTTTTTGTTCCTTTTAAAGCGTGTTCTCTGAAACCATGTGGAGTTTCCTTACGTGTCAAGGTTAGATTTACATTTACAGTTTATAACCACAAAGACTTGTGTCTTGGACAAGAGTGCCTAATGCATTTTCTTCTCACTAAAACAACAACATTTAGAAAGCCATTTATAAATGTTTTAAATATGTTTAAAGTTAAAGTGAATCTTGTGAGCCTAATTCTTTAACTTTTGCTGTACTTTTTCCTTTCCGAGAGTACAGAGCAGACAGACCAGAGAGTCTGATCCTTTCTGATGATTCCATGTCTCATGTTTTTTTTTTTTTTTTTTTACAGCAGCGCACCAAGTTCGGACGGGAACCTGCGAGGTGGTGGCATTGCATCGCTGCTGCAACAAGAACAAAATTGAGGAGCGGTCACAAACTGTGAAGTGCTCCTGCTTCCCCGGGCAAGTGGCCGGCACCACCAGAGCTGCCCCATCGTGTGTAGACGGTACGTTCCACCTCTGGCTGAATATTTCATGGGCCGTCTTCTTCTTTTTTGCTGATGCTCTTTCACACAAATCTCAAGGATACGTTTTTGCTGAGATCAACAATTAGTGTTCAGCATTAACTCACCTGAGTGTAATTTCTTCTAGAAGATGCTGTCGGGAGGCAACTTACAGGAGGGGAAAAGAAAGCTTAAGTTTTTGCAGGGTACAACTCATCCTGCAGGGGAACATTAGGTGTTCACTGAGAGCTCCTGTGAGGAGGTTTTAGCTAGTCATTTAACAGATGAACCCCAAAAGCCTATAAGACAATCAGCAAAAAGATCAACTACTTAAATATAGTTATTTTTTTATGTGTAGGTAGGTGTCAGACAGGTTACTGTTGCCTAGCAACCTCAACAGCTGCAGTGGAACTAGTTAACAAAACCGTTGTCTCTTAACTTAACCTATGAATTTAGAGATGATATGATGTTTCAAGGCCTCTTTTTTTAAACATCAGTATTGGGAGCTATTACTCACATTCAAAGTGTCTTACTCTCTAGCTTCAGAGTCAGCCAGCACTTTTAATTTGGCGCAATGAATCTTGGGATATGTTGGACAAAGAAGGATGCATTGGATATTTTCATTAAATACATTTTTTAAAAGTTACTTTTTTTTTGTTTTTGGGATTTGTAATTAAGGAGATGGTGTTGGGTCCTGGGGCTAGACCAGCAGAGGAAAACAACTTCACAGTTGAAATGGTACCAGAAGTTAAAGTAACAATATGTAACTGGGACACCTAGTGTTTAAAATGGGTACTGCAGTCCAAATTCAAAACATAACAAAACAGAGCTGATAGTGTTTCCACAGTGAGCATATAAATAATAAGCAATAAAACATTATTTTGGTATTTTTACATTAAATAACTGTATCGTCTCTTCCTGTAAAATCTTTAAAATGTCGAATGATGATCCACCTTGCATTCAGGGGCATTTATGCATTTTTCGACCAATAAAAATGTTTTATTTTTTGATGAAAAATGTGTCCCGCCACGGCAGGTAGATAATCTCGAAGTTCGGTTTCATTGGGAAAAAAAAAATCAACATCAGTCATAATATTTATGATGTAGTACTATGTGTGCTTAAGAAATTATCAACTAGTGAAAAACATTCATAGCAGCAGTCCTTTTCTTTTAAATGTATCCGGTCTAATTGTACCACATAGGGCTGATGAAGCCCTGTCATATTTGACTTTTAGTTTTCACTGAATCCAGGAGCCGCACAAAGACTCTCCTGAAGGGTTTTTAATCACCTCTGAATAAAGGTGAAGCTGTTCACTTCACACGGTAAAGTCAGCGACTTACAGGGTCTTTAGCATGCTAATATTTCTGACCCCCAACTCGCCTGAAGTGTCTGCCTCACTTTAGTCTGCACAGCGCAGGTTTCTGGCTAAACTCTGGACCCAATCGTGTTTGACCTATTCCTTGACATTTTACTATTGACATTTTCTGCAAATTAAAGCTGTGTGCCACTGGCCTCAGTTTAAAGCTCCACGGGTGATCTCAGTAAAAAAATGATCAGCACTTAACCTTTTAATTATTCTTTTTTCTATGACTGAGGGATTACCTTTAGCTCCACTCTGTGTGAGACATTCTCCTCATTGTATGAAGATAAATGAGCCCGAAGACACCTGAATTATAGATTTGAATAGATTTGAGGGGGAAAATTATAGAGGAAGCGAAAGAAAAACACAAGCAAACTTCGGTAAATGAACCTTCTCAGAAAGCGTCTTGATCGCACGTGTGTTCCCTCCAGTTACTCCGGCTTCCTCCCACAGTCCAAAGACATGCTTGTCAGGTCAAACGCTGACTCTAAATTGACCGTAGGTGTGAATGTGACTGTGGCTGGTTGTCTGTCTCTATATGTCAGCACTGTGATTGACTGGCAAACAGCCCAGGGTGTACCCCGCCTCTCACCCAATGACAGCAGGGATTGGCTCCAGAGCTTCTATGTTTGGATTACAATGTTGCAATCATTGCGAAATTAAAAACTCTGGAACTGCTTTACTGTTAATGTTAGACGGTGTCACATTCCTGCGAGAAGTATATGCTTTGGCCAAACTCCAAAGACACTCAGCCTCAACACTCACATAGTAATCTTCTGTAGCGCTACATGAGCATGAACCCAATACAACTCATGATTACAAATAAAGGCCTTGAATTACCAAAGGTTTTTCTGTTATACAATTTTCTTTGCTGCCAGATGTTTTCAGTCAGAGCAGCCTTTGTGTTTTAACGCATCATTAACTGTTAAGTGAAACAGATCCCAAGCACTTTCTGCATGCTTGGTTATCATTTTTCCCATTTCATTTCACGAGAAACCTTTGTGGCTTTTAAGTAGCTGCTTTTACGCAAACCACCATCTGCCAGCCGTTGACCTGATGCCTTGTTTTTCACACCACACTGCTGCTATAACCATGGCGGTGTGATACACATTAATTCCCTCATGTCGTAAAGTATCCATTCTGTGGATTTCACCCGACGCTCTGATATTTTGTGTGGTTTATATAAACTGTCCTATTCATTAGGAAGAGCACTAATGGTGGTTGAGCGTAGATAATGACTTTGAATTTGAATAATGTCTTCAACAATAGAATAACTGCAGCTCATCAAGGGTTCAAGACTACAGCTGAAGGTTTCCCCCTCAAATAACTTGAGACTCAAACCTTTCCACTTCCTACTTTGAAGATATTTATGACAATACTCTCAACATCTTTTGTGTTTTGTACTGAAAATAGATTTAGTGAGCGTTGCTATTCGAAGAAGTAAATCTTATATCACAGACCTGAGACAGCTGTCAAAATGTGACGACTTGATGAGACAAAGCGTGTTTCAGACTCGTGATGTTGTGTAAGTGTGAATGAAATACAGATTATCAGAACAAAATAATAATAAAAGAAGGCCCATTGATAATAAGGGAGCTGCGTTCATTGTGTTTATGTTAATTCATTTTCATTTGGATTTAGTCTTAGCCCTTCAGGCGAGGCCACAAATAATAGATCATGTAGGCAGGCAGAGCAAGAAAGACAAAAAGCGAAGTTAACGCAACATTGTAATGAAAAATGTTGGATAACATTATCAGAACTATTCAACCTCAAACATCTTAACTCAATATTTGTATAATTTAATGGTAGTGTTCAGCCTACACATGTCTGTCATTTCCTTCTTTGGAACCGTTACGTTAGCTTGATTGCTATAAAGAAAGCCATGTTATTTAAATGTTCTTGAAAAAAAATTTAAATGAAAGAAATAGGTCATATTGATGTCTGGTTGATCATCCGGCGTTTACTATTTTCATCTTGTAAATAAGGAAATTTGCATCACTACTATTGGAAAGTGATTTTTTTTTTTTGATGACTCATCAGTTTTGATTTTATGACAGATAAGAGTTATTTATAATAGAGTTGTGATCTAACTGACTGGGTTACAATGATTGGGCTGAACAGTTTAGCATATGAACATGCTCACTCAGAACTCAAATCACTACAGAATGTTGCGTTCACTCTACACAGCACTATAAAGTGGTAGGGAGTCGTCAGACACAGGTGAGACTAACAAGACACAGGTGAAGACAATCAGGGCAATCAGAATGGAGGAAAACCAGACCAAAGGAGGAAGTAAGAAAAGACCAGAAACACTGGGGACAAGAACTTCAAAATAAAACAGGAAACGCATAAAGAACTCAATATATGTAGCTGTAAAAATACACGCAGGGCATTGAGAAACACGAAAATAGAAAATTACAAAATAAGACAGGAAATACTAAAGACTAGACTTGGAAATAAAGCAACAGAAAAAAACACACAAGTGAAACGATCAAAATTAGACAGGAAATGACATAAGCAACAAAACAAGGAATACACTAACTAAACTAAAGTAAACCATGACACGCAGCCCACTTTTTAGAAGAAATAAAAGGTATTAAGTGAGTCTTATACACCTAATGTTACACTAATTGTCACTTTAATTTGCTTGTATCTATATCTCTCTATTACAGCCTCAATAGTGGAGCAGAAGTGGTGGTGTCAGATGCATCCGTGCCTTGACGGAGAGGAATGCAAAGTTCTTCCTGATCTGAAGGGTTGGAGCTGTGCCACAGGGAACAAGATCAAAACTACAAAGGTAGGTTTAAGAAACAAAAACGATTTTTACACTCAAGATATCCATATTCTGACCTGTTGAATCTCACCCCACACACTGCAACTCCCAAGGTCAACAGGCTGCGGCTTCTACAACAATCCTCTGGCCTGCCTTTACCTTTACACAGCTAATGTTTGCAGCCAGTGCTTGGACCCCCCTAGGGGCCTATAATCAATGGGCTGCCATGTCTCCTTAGCACTTCCAGGCCACTTTGAGCACCCAAACTGGCCAATTACTCACTCCAATTACCTGCTTTTAACATTGTAACATGATGCCTGTATCCTTCAGTGTGATATGACAACCCATAGACTTCGCTTCTCCTCTCTCTCTCTCCATGTACTTAATTATTTAAACCGCCCGCAACACCTGCCTGGAGCCGGGAGCCTGGAGCCTGGAGCCTGGGGTTATCGATTCACAGAATTGTCGGGACCTCATATTATTTTTTTTCCCCTTTTAGTGCTTTGTCCAGGATCCCATGACAAATGTCTTGTGATGTCTTGAAATATTTTCCGATTATTACGAGACCAAAAAGTTAAACTTCTCTTTCTGTTGTTGTCTCCTTTAACATGTGTGACTGGAAAGATTTCTGCAGACAAAGACCAGCTTTGGTAACGACAGATGTTTCACGGAGGAAAACAGGTAATTAATCGGTTTGTTTTTCAATCGTCTTAACTCTAATTTTTCTACTCATTATGGTCCCAATTTCAATTTGCAAAGCAAATACATTTCTCAGTAGGGGCCATTAATTCGTCTCATTACTTCATTGTTCAAATATTTGACATAAAAATTATTTACTGTAAAGTATTACTTCGTATTTTGATTATAAACCACATTTCCCAGAAGTGTTGCTATTCCTGAGAACGAGGCAAGAAGACGTGTGCGATCCAAGATACAACAACAACCTGTTCAAAGCAACACCCAGCAGATTTATCTCGCACACCTTTGAACTAGAGCTCGAGAGAAGAAGCAAGTTTGTTAACTTTCAGATCTTTCAGTATGCTGCTTGAAGCAGCGGGGGGGTCGAGCTTTCCTCTTCATCTCAGCTGCTCTAATGGGTAAACAGCACAACATCAACTTGGAACCTCGAGCGATACTGACTCATATCAATCAGTATAAATACATTCACACAGGCTCGAATCACCTTTAGTATTCAAAGCAAACAATGTTACCACAGGGCCCACGACTCAGCAGGGAATGCAGTCTGGAGCAAATCTCTGAGCGAAGCCGGAAGTTATTGTATATTTTCATTTCCAAAATAGCAGCAAAAGGTAAACATTTTCATTTGTGTCTTGAGGACGTTGGGTACACGGAGCAATCACTTCTGTTAACAACATTATTTGTATTCTTTTTTAATTTCGAATTTGTCAATCCATGTTTGTGAAATACACACAAGTTATAATATTCAAATTCAGGCAGACAAGGGAGTCTGCAGCGTCTCACTTCCAGAGTTAATTTGAGGCTTTGACATCAAGTAGTTTCTCTTTTTACTCTTTCCATTTACAAAGATTTTAAAGCACTCCACAGAATTATGTGATGATAGTTCCTTTCATGTGATGTAGATGGTATTTTTGGCTCGCCAAAACAGAATCAGAATACAGTAAATAACTGTAGTTTAACATAAATGGGATCTTTTAGCTGTAACATCGAGGAGAAATTTACTGCCAACAGGCTCTTCATCAAACAGTTTTGACGTCTTCTGTAAATTACCCCATTTTTGAGTCCTTAAATATCGTAGAAACAAATGACTAGCAGGCTTCGCCCTGACCAGAAGCAGATTTTCAACTGTGTTTTAGAGACATTACTCAAGCTGAATAATATTAAAGTTGTAGGTAAGTAAAAAATAAGCTCTATTCTTCCATGGGGATTGAACCCCAAGCCTTCAAGTTGAGAGACGACTGACTCTACCAACTGAGCCACCAGCTTGGGGTTGCAATAAGTTTTATACGCCTCCAAAATAAAGCTGTAGATCAAAAAAAACGTTATTTTTGGCTTTCAACAGCTGAGCCTGCAGGTACTGATTGGTTTGAAAAAAAGACCATTAGCTAGAAACAATGTAATGAGCAGCAGAAGATTTCACAGTTGTATGTTAGCTAAAAGTCTAACTGAATAACGGAAGCAGCTTAGAGGAAGCTTAGCAAAGTTCAGCATCCAAATAGCAGTCAACCGGTTTAACTAGACAAAAGAAAAAAGCTTCATTTTAGATGATCAAAATATTTAGCATGAGCTGTTTTTTCCCGCCTATTTTGTGGGTAATGGTTTGCATCCTGAAAAACTGCTTCCTACATTGCTCTTTGCTGATAAGAAGCTACATGAAAAGAAATAATGTAAATTAGGAGAGGATGGAAGGTGAACAAATGGAAGGTGGATGGTGAACAAATATGTATAATTTGCAGATCACTGCAGATGGCTGTCCACCAATGAATCAGGCTTTCCTCAAGGTTTCTGCCTCAAAAAGGAAGTCTTTATTTTGAAACTGTAGCCAAGAGCTTGTTCATTGGTGGATACAGGGACTTCTTGATTAAAATAAACAGAGTAAAACATTCAATTGATAGGTTGGTTGTACCCAAAAATCAAAGTTAAAATGGACCCCAACATCAAACTGTCCAAATTCATTCATTAATTTCCAGACAAAAAAAAGGTTATCTTTTATTGGTACTCTGGACATTATCATGCTTAATTTTGAGCTTAACTTCATTGTAAGTTTTCTGTTCTGACATAACCAATAATGAAAATACTGATGCCTGTTCGTTCAGAGGCAGAAATCTTATCTCATAGGAAGAGGAATTCCTGACAGATGAATTCTACATGTTTTACCCTCTCATTGTGCTACGCTCTCCTAGATTCTTTCCTCAGTTCCTTTGCTACCATTGAAATGAATGCAGAGCCACATATCTCTGACAAAATTCCCCTCAACAACAGCCTGAAGGTGTTGATTAATGATGCTTCGTTCCCATTAATCCTGACAGTAGAACTTCATTTGGACAAGATGAATCTGCAGAGTCCTTTCTGTTTCGGTTTTTGCTGATTTTACTCGCTGATTCTCGTATAAAAATGTTGCCTGGTGCAGCTTTTAAATGGCCCTGCTACAAAAATGCCAGCCTCTGTAGTTACACTACAAAACATATTGCTGAGGAGTGCACTGCTGTGTGCCAATTACATGGCTGAATTACGCAAAACACGAGCCCATGCCCCTGCTGTGTTGAGTCCTTCAGCCAAACCTCACTTGAGGTGTTAAATGGAAAGGAATCCTTCCCCAGTTAAATTATCACCTCTCAGCCACCAATTAAAATAGCGCAGCATCCACTGAAGAGTTAACTTTCCTCCTTATTTTTAGCATATAGTTCCAGAGAGTTACTCAAATACTGTTAATGATTTACGCCCATCAGTGGTGAGACGCAGTGTAGATCAATCTCTGAAGGCATTTTCTCTTCTGACAAGCAGCAGCTCTGCTCCTTGTCTTTTCAGCGTGGAATTATTCTCAAATTAGTACCACATTAATCACAGTGACAGCTCTGAATGTAAATGAACTTGTAAAGGGAAGAATTTATTGCAGCCTGTTGAAATACCGACAAAGTGCTATGAGAAACTAAACTGATGGAAACTCTTTACCCTGAATGCATTATGATTATGCAGGTTTTCTTGCCAAGTGAGGGCCTGATGGTTTCTGGATTGTTTTTGCCTCCCTGCATAATTGAAGATGATTTATACGACCGTTCGCAGTTTGCCTCTTCTGTGTCAAACGGCCCATTTGTGAATTCCTCTAACCGGGCTGTCTCAGCTGTCTGTTTCCTGTCAAAAGTTCAGCGTCAATAATGGAGCCCTACAAGTTAGCTTCCCACGGTTCATTCAAGCCTTCACGGGCAGCTGACAGGCAGTTTGAATCGATAGTGGACGTCGTCATAAAGGTTGTTATGTTACGTTCACAGAGAGTCTTATCCAGATTGTACTTTTGGAGGAGCCAAGGAGATGCCTGTCAGACACGGAGCTTCATGACAGGCAATTTGATCTCAAGGAGAAAGGACGTCTGAGTATCAGACAGCGTCGAACGAGGAGAGAGAAACCCCAACTCACAGGCATCCTTTATTCTGAATACTGTATAACACTCTGATGGATGGAGCCAATACAAGTCTGATATCCTACAACAATATTAAATCTCTAGAATTGGAAAGCTTGAACTTTACACTTAAATGTCTCCTCTTTATCAGCCTGTCAGAAAGAGACACTGAATTGCATGAAATTTGACTCAGGTACACAAAGGACTAATTTGTGCTCGATTTTGAAGGAGCTGTGTAAATTGGTCCTTTTTTGATAATGATGTTGCTTTTTGGTCTTCTTTGAAGGTGTTGTTTTTTTTCCCTCTTTCCATCATTCTGACCTAACGACTGAAATATTGGTCAGATATTTTCAGAAAAATTGTCAAGTTTCATCTAAACTTCTGTGGTCATTCAAAGCACCCAAAAGATGAACCTTTGAAAATTGTCCGTTAAGTCACTGTGTTTTAGATAAGGGTTTGTCAAGGTTGTCGGAAAAAAGGCAACCAAAACTTAGAATGAAAATTTCCAAACTGAAAAATCCCAAAAAGGGTCAAAACAGGAAGCCACAAGGAATGAACAGGGAGCACGAGGAAACCTAACATCTGACACTAACATACACATACGACAATGAACTGACTCGGAGGCGAAGAAACACAGAGACTAAATAGACATGGGGTAATCAGACACAGGTGAGAACAATCAGGTCAACTAAACTGGCAAACACACAGAGGCAGGAATACACAAGAAAACTGAGGAGAACTACAAACTAAGTCATGAAACACTGAAGACAAACAGAACTCAAGAAAGTAACAAAAACACACTAGAACATTAAGAAACACTAGGGTACGAAGTTACAAAATAATGCACGAAACACTTGAAAACTATGAAACATTAGGACAAAAACACCCAGACATTTAGGATTCGAGACCGGGAAAAGACCAAGACCATAAATATCACTGTAAAATCATCATCTTGCATAACACTGGGAAGGTTGACCCAACATAAAGTCTTGGAGAATTCTCCTTCAATGTCAGTATTTTAATGGAATTTATCCATTTACTTCAAAGAATATGTTGACTGTCACTTGTTGTGAGAACTCCCTAGACTGTTATTAACAACTTGTCAGTTCCCCTCGACTTTAAGGAGCATTTTGGAAACTTTAAGCTCATTGTTTTGGTCTTCTGTTGCAGCTTTTTGCAGAGAAAAAGCTTTTATATAAACCACTGTATGCCAGCAGCAATGAACCAAACAGCAGACAGAGTTAAATTCTGGCTAGCTTGACCATTGAAGCATTTAGCAGCTAAATAGCGATGTGTCCTTCAGGAGCTGATGGAGACTAGACTCTTAATGGATGTAGATACTGCTTTGTATCAGATGAGTAAAAGAAGATAATATGTACATTTCGCATTTTAAACTTTTGTTCTGCCCTAAAATGTGCAAAAAGATGTGTTTATTTACAATTGTTTCATGCCATAGACCTTTCTAAGCACCACCAGCATGTTGAAATGTACACATCCTACAGCTATATCACACAATAAGACTGACATTCAATACATTCATGCTCCCAAGAATATAATTTTTATTTTATAATTTTTATTTCACACAAGATATCTCCATACCAAGTTTTACATCGTTAAATGTACATAGCAAGATATTTAATAGTTGACTGTTATTGTTTTTTCGGAGCCAATTGGTGCTCCCAATGGTATGAACCATTATGGATAAAGTTACCCAATGGTTTATACTTGTAGCAACAATCCTGTCAGACTACTTATAACAAAACAAACCTCTCCAAAATGCCAACTCTGGACATGCTTTTTTAAAATCATCCAACTCTTCTAAAATATATAGTCTCAAAGCAACGCTAGCAGGAGTTTCAGACCTTTAGAACTTATTGTTTCTCTGAAGATAATGAGTTTGCTCTCAGTAGCAAACATAAAATGTGAACCGCTTGCTGAATAATGCATCTGAACATGTAGCGTCTTTGCCAACATCTCTGTCATGTCAATCAGTGTGGGCGAGAATCTACTGCTATGTTGGGTTTTCTGTTGATACAGTTAAGTTTTATTACTCACACTCTTTCCTTTTATGTGATCTCATGTTTTTATCTACACTTGAGTCAAGTGCTAAGACCTGCTGACTTTTCTTTGTTATACAACTCACAGATAAGCTGATATTTAATACATATGGTAATTATGTGAGTTATTTAAAAATCTATACAATATATTCAGTGTTGCTTGTGGTTTTGCCTTGACTTCATTGTAACCATTTTTTTCTGTCGCAGGTGAACCAACAGCTTTGCTTTTTTGTCGGATCATCACAGAAGAGAGGAATGAAAATGACCTTTCTGTAAATAAAGACTTCCCTTCTTTCTGGACACAGTTAATCTTTGGACAAATCTGAATGCATCTTGAACTCTTGAACTCTATGGACATGAAAAAGAGGATTACATTCTATTGAAAGTACTGAAACATTCAGCACTACTTTTGGAAGGACTCCATATGATAAGCCTTACAAGAAAACAGGATTTATTCCGGACATTGTACTGCAACGATGAACTTTATCTATATGTGTATTTAAAGAGTATAGAAGCCCTCTGTAGGGGACTTGGTATCACAAATTGACCAGGGAGAACAGCAGATCAATTTGTTGTAAGCATCGCAACTTTGGTTTGGTTTTTATCCGTCAGTCGTGGCTTTCTTCTATAACAAAGTGTAGTTCCAGATGTCCAGATCTAGACAGACATGTGGCTGAGCAGCAGCTATTCAAGGTGATTTTCAAAGAAATAAACACACACATTTGTGTTTTTGTCATTCAATCTTGGTTGTTACAGAAAAAGGGAACCTAATTCATTTTTAGACTCTGCGTAAAAGTACTAAACCAGACATCAGTCAGTGCTTCTAATGGACAGTTCAGTTGAATCAGCCGGATTAGGAAATTCAATTGGACTGCTGTGCTTGTCCCATTATACAAGCACCGAGGAACAATCCATCTATTGATGGAAGTATGTCCGACTCAGCTACGATAGAGGTGATATGCCCCCTTTCAGCTAGTTACTGTTGGACCTTCTTGCGTTTGACCTTGCTAACAAGTAAGTTAGGTGACAAGTTAGCATACTGGTTAAAAGTCCAACAGTGGTGGTGCAGTGGTTGGTACGCGCCCCCCATGTGTGGAGGCTGTGGTCCTCCAGGCGGACAGCCCAGGTTCGAATCACACCTATGGTTCCTATCTTGACTGTCTTTCCCCACTCTGTCCCTCCCTGATTTCCGGCTCTGTCCACTGTCCTGTCTCTCCAAAACATGGGGAAATGTAGCTCTGTACTGCAATGCAGCTATAACGTTCAATTTCTGGGTCAAAGCCCGTAGCGGGAACTGGTTTTCCAATCCTCCTCCTGGCTATAGGCTAGCTTGGGTCCGATTGATGCATTTATTGTACGTGAACCCCAACCTCGTATTCTAAGCGCGTTAGTCCAACTTCGAGAAATTCAACTTCAGATGGACAATCATGTTAACACACATTCTAAAAGATCCAGTTTTTCGCGGGCTACCACAACAAATGGATTAAATCTGATCGAACAGCTGTGAGCAGAAAAAATAGAATCCAGCTGTGGTTTGTTTTATTCTTTGAGAATCACCGTGTCATTCCCTTCTACTGCTGCCAGATTTTGTTTTTTGTACCACATCTCTGGAGTTCTTGACAGTGGCGGTGTAAATTAAACACTTAGAGCATCTGGCTTGCCGGCTGGGTAATGACAATGTTCCCAAAACGGTTTCAGACTAGTTACTCAAGTAAGATTTGCTGATCACCTTCCGGTATTGCTGACACTTCCCTGTCTGTGTAAGTGATGACATCAGTAATAAACTATGGTTGTGTATCTAAAGCCTTGTGTCTTTTAAGCATCTTCATGTTCATTTTATTAACCACCATAGCAGCAATACAGCAAAACAATGGACTATTATCTGACTGGGAAAAAAAATATTTGCAGAGCTTTTGGTATGGATTAGTGTTATTTTCAGTATGATTAGGCATCTTACATTGACAACACAATAATGCAAATTTTGAAAAAGACCCATTGTACGCACTGGCCTTGTTAATTAGACACAATTTAGAACATATATAGACAGCTTCTCCACAAAGATAGTGTCAGATTGTCGGGAATGGAAATACAACTGGGTCGAAATAAAACATCAATATCTTTCAGAATCAGACAGCTGCACTAAACATGTATCCTCTTGTCTGATGTCTCAATGTGAGTTCAAGCAAGTCCAATCAGCTGCTGGCCTGTCACTGCAAAGATTGAAGTGAAATTTATGCTGCAGTTATTCATCCAATGTTGCAGAATTCAGAAAAAGCAAACCAAAATAAAACAGTTATAATGTAATGTAAATCAGATGTAAAATGGTCACTTTATTTAAAAAAACATACAAAAAAACAGTTCTGCTTTGTAGTTTTTGTTAAATTGTTTCTAATGGTTGCCTTGTTCCTCTCACCCGGCCCTCCACAGCATTAGCACCATCTGTTACCTTCATGTGGAGATATTCTGAGTCCAATTTCTTTTGTAGACAAAAGACTGAAACAGCCAAAACCAATAATGTGAATAATAACTCAATATTTTGTGATCGTCCTTTGAGGGGAATGGCGCTTCTCTTGAGAGCCATCCAAAATAACAGAAAAACAACTCAAGTGCATTTTGGCTAGCTAGCTATGACACAAAATCTGCCTTTTTTTTTTTTTTTACCTGCAGCAGACACACAATTTGGATTCTAATCTTAAACTGCTGTATTTAAAATATTATGTTTACCAAGGATTAAATAACTGTGATAAGTAACCTGATATGTTTGCAGCAACAAATTATCTCCAGAATCATCTTTTAGCTGATTGTTTTGGATTTAAATTTCATACTTACTCATACTTGATACATTCATACTTGTTTACTTTATAGTCTGATGTTTTCAGCGGCTGTGTTTTCAATTTAAAAGTTCTGAATTGTTAAACTTATACAATTCATTCCATCAGCCTGACAACAAACAAAACATATAAGCCACAATACGATTAACACTGGGAATCATGAACTAGCCGGATCTCTATCTGAAGTTGAAAGGGACTTAAAAGTAAATATGCAACTATTGCACATTCACAATATTGTAAGTTGATATTGTGTCAGTTTTGTATTGAAAGCAGGGTGGCATTGCCAATGGGAAAGAACTAATGCTAATTTAAGAATAATGCAAGGCGCAGATCTGGGCCACATGATGCACATTGGCCATTATTTTTTATTTTTTAAATCAGAAATGGAGCAAATGCAAAAAATATGTTTTTTGCCCCTGCATCGCTCTTTGTATTTTTCACATTGGTTCCCAACCTTTGGTCTGGGCCCCACTATGTAGCCATGAGGTTGTTAGTCAGCCCCACTTTATTTTAGGTTATAATCAAATCAACTAACGAGTACATTTTTGACAGTAATGTATCTTTTTTATGTGTGGGTCTAATGGGGCTGAGCTATTTTTAGATAAAAACTTGGGGGGCCTCCAAGGAAAAAGTGTTGGCTACCACTGCATTCTCCGAGTTGGATCCACTCGAAGATCATTAAGTGGAGAAGAGTTGAACAATTAAAATGAGTCAACAGGCTGTCATCTTGTCAGTCTGGGAAAGTCTCTTGACGTGCGTTCGTCATGCCGAGAGCTGCTCGGTGCTGGACAAGGACTCCATGGACCAAACATGCAGAAGTGTGAAGAAAGCCGCTGAGGGTTTTCTTTGGAGAATGGGCGCCCTGTTCAAATATACAAGAGCTGCAATAGGCTGCAAGATCTTAGTTCTTTCTGTGACGCACACAATGAATGCATTTAGAACCAAAAACATGTTCTTAGTTCCAGTGTGACTCTCATTTCCTCACTATTTTCATCAGAAATAAATGTCCATAGTTTACCGAAAAAAAAACCATTTCTTATTCCTCAAAGAACATGCCTTTGCATCATGTTGTTTTTTAAGTTCCCCTCAATCAATATCCTGTTATTTGTGTCTGTACATGCACCATAGGTTGACTGAAGACAGGAAGTGCTGGTGACTAATTCAGTACACTTTTAGAGGTACCAAAGGTACAAAATGTGAGGCTAAATAGTAGCACACAATTTAGGAGCTTTGCAATGTTTTGAAATAAGATCTCTAGAAATACTGCCCTGTGATAGGCTGGTACCAATTAGCCCAAAGTCTTCCTCCGGGGCTTTTTTATACTGATTAGAGAGGTGTTTGTGCATTTGCTTCCCTTCAGTAAAAGAGATTAAAAAAATTTCAGTGCATCAACATGCATCCATGCAGCACCCAAAAGTAGGCATGGAGGGATGCGTCCAAAGGCATGCAGTGCCACTTGAGCATAGACTATTTATTAAGGTAAATCACAGCAGCAGAGCAGACTAACATGAGTCAGCAGTTTAAGGAGTTTGTCTCTACAGAGAACCAGGACTTTATTCCTGTGAAAAAACGATTGCAATGCTAATCCTGTTAGCCAGTACATAGCATTTTTTTTAGTATTTGTTTGCATCACGCTCACAGGGGGGCGCCAAATCCAAATCTCGCCTAGGGCACCAAAATGGCTGGAGCCTGCCCTGGTCCCTGCTATCAGTATTGACGATTCCCATTCATACACATCCACACACTGCTATTCCACACGTTCTTGTCCAAGGATACCTTGACACATTACTGCAGGAACTGGGGATCAAACCCCGACCTTCAGGTTGAGAGAGGACCAACTCTACAAATGAGCCACAGCTAACACGTCCTGTAGATAAGATGCTGTACATACAGTCAGTGTACTTAACAAAGGAGAAGATGGTTCAAGACAGTCTTATCTATAAACGTCCCACATACACTCATAATTCTGAGGTTTAAATGAGAGCTTCTTTCATGCTGAGGATCCCATTGAGAGATTAGCTTTGCTTGCATTGGTAAACAGGGTTATTAAAACATTTTATATCCTTGTCATAAAGGGAGTAAAGTGAATTTTGGAGCTCTAGCCAACGTTAAAAAAGACAATAATTCCAAATTACAGTTGAATAGTTTCAGTGGGTTTTTGTTGCATTGCTGACACATCTCAATTCTTGAATGCTTCTCTTTTGGGAAATCACCAAAAGCTGCAGACATTTGACAGACACTAAAATGAAGAAATGTAAAACGGTATATGTCTCTTGATTCTTATGGTTTACAAATGGACCTTGGTTTCATTTTTTTGGAACGTACCCTGTGTGCTTTCTATAGACACTGTAGCCGTTCTGTGCCTGTCAAATACAGTTACACTGAACGCCTGTGTTTCCAGTCTACTATCCTTTTCCAAACAGCAATTCTATGAAATATTCGTCAATGAAAAGAGAAGACGATCTCCGCCGTGAGCCATTTTCTCACGTTTTTTTTTTTTTTTTTACAAGCAGCAAGCCTTCAAACATCAAGATTCATTCTTTTACCGAAGGCGTCCTTTGGCAAAACGACAAACGTTCTCCGCGAATCAAAAGGCCACGGCCTTGGCGTGTCGAAAGAGTTTGACATTTCCAGGGTCAGCGCCAGACTCCCAGTTGGTGTGTGAGTCACTTTAAGAGGAGGAGAGTCTGTGGGTGCCGGAGCTGCAAAACACAGAAAAAAAAAACCCTCGCTTTGATTTCTTTCAAGGGATTCAAATAAAGTAAAACAGGCGTTTCTCTCCTTTTCTCTCTCTCGCTGCATGCTGCAGTCATTACAAGAGCACATCAAAGGAATCTCCTCCTCTCACCATATGCCGTACAGTTTCATAATCTAATGAGGGTTTTGTAATTACGCAGTCCACCATGGGGAATGCAGCTCATCGATTCTCTGGGAAAAGAAATTTCATTACATACACAGACCTACTGTAAACCATCGATGCAGCCACAGCTTAGCAAGCTTTGATTTAGTTTAATCATTTTACACGAGAAGTCGTCAGAGTTACACGATGTAGACAGACTTACAGAGATTAATCTACATCAGGATGCCCTGTTTTTTTCAAGGCAAGATGATACACTGTCAAAGGTACAACATTGTCGACATTTTTCAACTCATTATACTGTGTTTTCCCTGCATTGCAGTAGTCTGTATGACACTACATTACATGCCTCATATGAAAATTATAAAGTGTTTTTTTATACAACGTGCATCCAGCAGTAAGAAATCCTTCGATTAATTCATCAAGCCATCACATGACAAATGAGACACTGGCTACGGTGGAATTATTTAGACATTTCTGCTGGTGTAATAAGAAGGATAGAGCTGTTAGAAGTGTTGATTCGCAGTAGCCCTCTCACTCCTCTGTGTTGAAATCCTTTTAAGTCGTGCCTGGGAACTCCGGGCTAAAACTTTGCTTTGTCTCAGCTGTGAGAGCTCCATCTTCTCCAGCCGTGAGCAGAATGCCAACAAACAACTTATGGGAAACTTTTGTGACGTCTTTATTGATTCTTTTTGTTTCAGCCTGTCCGTCTAGATCACAGTTAAAGTTACAAACAGTAAATGGGCAATATAGTTTAATGCAGGTCTGTTACATTCTGTCACATTTGTAGATATCAAGGATTAACAGTGATGAGGCTTATTCAACTATTTGTGCAGGACTACATCTCTTGGGATCACATTTGGTTGTTTACTGTAAAGCATTCCACTGTTTGTGTCTTTTGTTCTCAGTTCAGTAGCACACAAAAATCCAATACCAAAAGAAGTGGAGATATCACATAATCGACCATATTCCCATGGCGGCCATGTTGCTGTGATGTCATGCCTCGATGTCATCAGGTCTTACTCCTAATTCCCACATACTCCACGTGGGCTGCGGTCTGTCTGCCGCGCACTACGCCGCAGTTTGCTGCCACTAGTCAATGATTGTGT